ACACATGTTTTTAAGAACATAACCGTGGAAATTTTAAATGACAATTGTGGATATTAGGAAAAAGGGCCGATCGCCCTTACTCGAATAATAAAAGCCATTATCAATTCGAAAAACAATTTAGAACTATTTAGAAATTTTCAACATACCTGCCATGGCTAAAAATATATATTTCAAATTAATTAAATATATAATTTACAAAAATAATTCAACCACATCAACCATGCTAGTAGTACAAAATTATATAGACTAAGCAACCCTAATCATATTTTTTTTAATTGTAAATATCAAAACGAAAATGTATTATATTATTTTATATATTATTATCTAATTTTCAAACGTTTAAAATGTAAAAATCTATTAACAATAAGTTTAGATGATTATGTCAGGAGAACTTTATAAGTATAAATAATAAAAAAATAAAATAAAAAAAACATATAATAATTAAAAACATATTTTATACCATGCTGAAAACCGAGTAACGAATGATCTTATGTTTGAATATTAAATGTATCTGTCTCTCATTAGCTTAGTATGGATCAACCTCTGGAAAATGTATTTTACAAAAATCAAACGAAATATAAAGTCATATAAAGTCAGGACCGGTTTTAGCTCTTTCAGCGCTAATTCCAAAAATTATTTTGGCGCTCCTCCCTCTTAAACGACCTCTTAAATATTCAACTTAAACAGACAGAATTTGGAGAACTGGAGAGGCCCATTCATAATCAAAAATCTTCAAAATAATTTTTCAAATTACCATATTTGTCAAATATTTGTAAATCATACAGAGAAAATCAGACACTACTTTAATAATAAATAATAAATAATAATGTATTATTATATTATATTGTATAATATTAAAAATAAATAATAATAATGATAATACTAATAATACTAATAATAATAATACTAATTTATAATAAACCACGTTGAGAAAATTACTATTCTATTTACCTAGAGTTGATATTTTGTGTCCCCAACGTTTCATCAAATTTATCTCTAATTTGAACGTCTCTCACGCGCTCTTCTGATTTTAGCGCTCTGTGCCGTCTCACGCATTAATCGTATCTAAAGTTAACAAAATGATTGTTTTCCGAAAGCAAGTGTACCCAAAAACTCGAGGCTTCAATCGTTTGCTACAAGTGTTACAAAAAATCGATATATTTGTATACATTTTGACCTAAGTCCAAACTATACGTTTACCGGGAAATTTCGCTGAAATTCTTCAAGCGATGGAATTTATTGCGAAATATATCATAATCATTTTCGTCTTGATTATTGCTTTTTCTTTCGTAACAATTTATACAAAAAAATTTTTTAGCATTTTAGATTAAATTTCGCCTAACCATTTAATTAAACTAAAAATTCCTCGTTAGGTTTAAATTTTTTTATTATTATTATTGTCGAAATATCAGATTCGTTTCGTATACAACATTTAAACATTTTTACGACTTTTCTATTTTATTAAAATTACTTGAACGTTTTGAAAACGGGTAAATATGAAAACATTTTGCCAACAAAATGATTTTTCATTTGTTTTTAAAATGAAATTTTTGGTAGGTTTTATACGTAAGTATCCGCTGTTTTAGAATAAAATTCGTGCGAACATTTTAGTTGATGAAAAACCGGATATTCCCGCATAATGTAAATTATCTGAACATCCCACAGGTTCTAAAAGTCCGATTTGGAAAGAGTAGGTTTTGCTGTCTGGCTCACAATGATTATGTGATGACGTGCAGCTTTTATAACAAGGTCGTTGTCGGCTACGCGTTGTTCCTACATCATTTAGGCTCTAAGTCACACGTCATTAACTATCACTTCACGTCATTGTCACTAAAGATTATTATAAAGCGTACACACCCATACACATTTACCTATACTAGCCGTATTATTATGTATTCGCTTTCGATGGAAATTGATTGTATACACGATTATTATTATTATTTAGCCGTGACGACCAGCCTTATGCATTAATTATCCTAAAGAAGGATTTTCGTTAAATTAAAACGACGTCAAATAAAATGAGAATTACTAATAGTCAAGGCACATTATTACATAGTAAGATAAAAATACCCGACCAACGATATAACAGATGATTATTACGCCAAATACAATGTTTGTAAGAAAAATAAATTCGAAAATCGAAAATTTAATATCATAAAACGAAAATCAAATTTAAATTGACCTAAGAGTGTTGGTGATTATATTATACGACTTGAAGGAAACGGTCACCAAAAACTTGAAAATTCTAACAACCTATAATGTGAATATTAAATTGAATTATTAATCACCATTAGTGAACTGCACGTCAAGCTATTTATGTAAACTATATTTTATACATATATAAGCTATAAATTCTGCACAAAATTAATTTATTGTTTAAGATAACTGATTTTAAATAACTTATTTAAAAATTAAATGATAATTAATAAAACTTCAAGAAAAAAAAATACAACTTTAATAGAATAGAATCTACATAAAATCGTTATTTTATACATTTATTTAATATTGTTTTTTATTTTTATTTTTAAGTTTGGAATTATATTTACTATCTCTAAGGAATCTAGAATTTGAAAAGTTCGATAAACGCTGACATAGATGTTCAGTATTAAAATTATATATTTTTTTATTTTCAATTGATATTTGATAATTTCAGCTGCAACGGTATTATTACGTAGTCCAAATTTAAGTTTTATTCAAGTACAACGTTTGAATCATATAGATAAAAATGTTTTCCTAGATTACGATTTTTTTAAAAAAATGTATTTAGAATTCTAGCCATTACGCCTCAATGATCTAACTACATCTGCGTACCTATTAAATGTCAATTAAGTGTAAAATATAGATCTTTTGGAACGATGCGATCCCGGAATTTAATTAATTTAATGGTTTCTGGTTTAAATATAACTATTATCGTTTATCAAGTTGTAGTTTAGTTAATTTATTATTACTTTTATTACTTTTTTCTAAAACTATACAGTTTTTCCGTTTTTAGTTTTTTTCCTCCGGCTCTATTTCCCGGAACATTTTGGGTACCATCGTTTTATTTTTTATTTTATTTTCATTCGTATAAATACCCGCAACTCTTTGATTCTGCAATGACCTACAGGTCTACCGCTAATGAATGCGCTCGTTTGTCCACGTGTGAGTATATATTATACAGTGTTCAGAAAGTTTTCAAACATTAAATTTATAGCGATGAAGAATACATATGCTGATGTTTTGTATACCTGCTATACATTTTATATAAAATAACGTGGGCTTTTAACAGGACCAATGTTGATCGTAAATGGAAACATTTGTTAGAAGTTCAAAAAATATACGATACACTTTTATTTTGATCACATTTTTTTCTCGCGTGAAAAACCGAGGCTTAGAAAATGATCTGTATTATTATCTATTGTATATTTTATAATTTATTTTACATATAATTTACGTGAAGTGAACAACAGTTTAGTGTATTTTTTTTTTTTTTTTACACACGTCATGTTTGGTCGCACAATAGTCAGGTATTTATAAGGAATGTGCGTTACAATTTTTTTAAGTTTGAACAATCATAATTCATATAATTATGAATTACAATGTAAATTGTGTATATATGTGTATGTGTGTGTGTGTTCGTGGTGTAAAAATATAAATTAAATAATACCGAGTCATTGTGCGCTTGTACATAAATATTATATTCCATTGTTAAAACTACAATCCATTTAATTGTCCTCTTAAATTATACCTACTACACTAATTACTATCTATATTATTTATTAATGGTTTTGCATCTTTTATTTTATTTTATTTATTTTTTGTTTTTATCTCGTTAAAAGAAATTAAATAAATTCTATTTTTTTGCAATTTTCATCGTTTTTTAATCACATATCGGTATTTTTCATTGCTATAGTTGTAACTAAAAAATGGGCTAAGCTTGTTAATGATCTTTTGTTAATACAATATTTTATTAAAAAAATAAAAATCATAACAATTTCTATGACCAAAATACTCATAACAGGTAAATTATTTAAATATAACCCTTTTAAATTTAAATGTATATGACATTGTATTAAATGTATTAATATTACACCCCGGGGCATAGATATATAATACATAATTATCAAAATAATATAAATATTCGTAATTTAAAATCGCTTTTTTATAGATTTTTTTTAAATACATTTTTAAGATTTTAAGTTGCTTTCCACTTTTTTCTATAATTTTATAAGTTTCCGGCACATTGAAACCTTAGCGATATTTTTTAATATACAATCATGCTCCATGTAGTATCACTTCATATATATATTAAATTTATTTGATGGAATAATAAATATACCTACGTGCAATGACCAATCGATTTATGGAATACCAACTAAATTTTTGCGATGACCTATCTTGCATAAATATGAACCAAGTTTACAAGAAATATTATTTTTCAAAAAAAAAGAACAACACACGTGATAATAATGTACATTATACAAGTTAGGATACAATGGAAATGTAATATTCACTATCTTTTTTAAAATATTTACAACATAATATTTCGCAGTTATATACAATAAATACAATATAATATAAATAATATATAATAATATATAATTATTATATAATATAATTCATTTCATGTATTATGTTAGTGGTAATTTCACTAATTGTTTCCTTGGAAATACAAAATAAGCTAGTCTGAATTCTTATACTTATTTATGGATATATATATATATATATATATAGGGAAAGAGATTTTGAGTGCAGCCTTTCATAGCCCTTAAAATCAGCCCCTCCTCCTATTTCAAAATCATTATAGATAACAATTAAAATTCTATAGTAAAATAAATATATATTTCCTATCAGTAACTGTCGGCCGAAAAATAAAAAAATAATTTTTTTCTAATTATGACTAATCCATATTTAAGTTACTATTATATCGATGTGCATTACGATATAAATTAATTTTGTCAATTAGATTTATAGAGGATGAAAGCAATGATACGTTTTGATTACTTTTTTTTTTTTTACAGGTTTCACGATGTACACAACATGTGTCATATGGCTGGCGTTTGTACCACTATACTTCGGTATCGGTAACCACACTCCGCTGAGGATAACAACCATGTCGGTAACCATCAGCCTATCTGCCAGTGTAACTATTGTTTGTCTATTTTCACCGAAAGTAAGTACAAAAAGCTTACTTGTACAAAATATACTATAAATCTCGGGTGAGAACAATTTAGATTTCCAGATTGTTCGACCTTATCGCTCGCGATTCCTCTCCCCGCACACATCCATCCGGAAATAGGTGTTTAGACTTGATAATAATAAAATCGACACGGTGGGTATGCGCTGAAATGTGGACCGGTGCGTATAAAGTTTCGCGAGTGCGTCCATCCTGTTTGTATGTCCCCTATTGTGGTTAGGTGCGAGTAAAAACTGAGGCCATCTTACTTTATACGCGTGATTTGAAGTTGACATTAGGGTAGTTAAATACGCCTTACTAACCATAGTAACCGTCATCGGAGGAGCGGTATCTGCATTATTTTATTATATTATCATATATTTATATTGTGACTGTAATCATCTATTTTCAGGTATTAGTTGTATTATTATTATTTATTCTGTTTGTTTTTGTTACTTCGGTCTTCTAGACCATGTTGTTCAACAGGATTGCCTCCACATTCCCCTATCCAATGCTAAATCCTTCCAATCTATCCCTGGTCTCAATTTTTCTATGTCTTCCTTGACCCTATCTTCCTAGCGTAATCTCGGCCTTCCAAGTGGTCGTTTTCCTGTACTATTTTTACTAATGCTCCTGATTTTCACCAAGAATGACCTGCCCACTTCAATCTTCTTTTGGTAATATCTTCTTTAATGCTTAGCCTTTGATATAAATCCTGAAGTTCTTTGTTTTTGTGTATTCTCCATTCGCCTGTTGATTTGTTTTTACATGGTCTATACATTTTTCTCGGTACTTTTCTTTCAAACACAAATAGAGCATTTTCGTCAATTTTCCTTAAGGTCCATGTTTTCGAACCATATGTCACAACTGGCTTAATAAGTGTCTGATATATTTGGGATTTCAGATTTTTTGAGATTAATTTAGATCTTAATAACTTTTTCAGGCCAAAAAAACATTTATTGGTAGCTTGTGTTCTCGCTTTTATTTCCATACCTATTTCATTCTGTTGATTTATTATTGCGGCAAGATATTTGAAATGCTGTACTCTTTTGAACTTGAGGTTATCGACTTCTAGCCACTCGTTGAGGGGTTCTATTTACTCGCATCTTTGAACTACCATATATTCAGTTTACTCCGCGTTAATCTATAGGCTTTACGTCTTGCAGAATTTATAAGTTTTTCTGATTGTTTTTTGAGCTTATCTTTACTTTCTGCCATCAAGACTATGTCATCTGCATATGCGAAAATTCCGATGTTACTTTCTCCTAGTTTTATACATTTCTTATCTAGATTTGCTTATCTTACTAATTTTTCTAAGGCTATGTTGAATAAAACAGGTGAAATAGGATCACCCTGCCTTAGTCCAGTTGTCACTTGTTCTGGCTTTGACAACGTGTGTCCTACTTTTACTTTTACTTCAGTGTGACTTATACTAAATTCTATGAGTTTTATTAACTTACGTGACATTCCGAACTCTTCTATAATTCTAATTAGGGACGCTCTATATATTGAATCATAAGCTTTTTTGAAATCGATGAATAACATATGTACGCTTTTATTATATTCCCAGGTTTTTTTGTAACAACTGGTGTAGAATGAAAATTTGATATATCGTAGAGCGGTTTTTCCTGAATCTAGCCTGGTAGTCTCTTAAAATCTCTGCTGCCTAAGGTTTGATTCTATCTAGTATACAATAAAATAAAATCTTATAAACTACATTAAGCAGAGCAATCCCTCTCTAATTGTTGCTTATTTGTTTGTTACCTTTCTTGTGGATGGCATAAACTAAGGCTGTCTTCTATTCTTTTGGTATTTCCTCTTTTTGCCATATTAAACTAACTAGTTGATGTATATATTTAGATAGATTATCCACTTCTATTTTAAGTAACTCTTCGATAATCCCATTTTTACCGGGTGCCTTGTGGTTTTTCAGGGTTTTTATGTGGTTCAAAATTTCCTCTACCGTTGGTTTGGTATGTTTTTTCTCTATTCGGTTTTTTAGTCTCAATAAAAAAATGGATTAACGGGTTCTCTGCAGTTTAGTATCTGGTCGAAATATTTAGTCCATTCCTCGACTATGTCATCTCTATTTGTTAGTAAAGTATAATTTTCGTTCCTTAAGAAATGTTCTTTCGACTTAAAATCCTTGCTTAGAGAGTTAATCTTCTTATATAAGTCTCTTGTCCTGTAATTTTTATAGTCTTAATCCGTATTTCTTAATATGTCTTTAATCAATTTTCTTTTGGTGCTTGCTTCTTTTAGTCTTGTTTTATATTTAAAGAATTTTTCTTCGTTTTGAATATCCTTTAACCAGGCTTCTCTTGCTTCCTGCGTTGTAGAGCATTTTCGTTCATTTGATTAAACCAAGGGTTCCTCTTAAATCGTCGTACCCCGACTTTTTTTTTTTTGCCGTTTTGCTAATCACATTTCTTATAGCTGACCATATGCTTTTGATATCATGATTTCCGTAATCCAAGTGTTCTTTCTTAATCTCATTTATTATATTCTTACGAAAATCTTCACACGTTTTGAGGTCCTCTAGTTTTTGTATGTCATAGTGCTCTATTTTTTCTTCTCTTCTCTTCTCTATTTTTTTTAGTTTTACTTTAAGTCTTTCTATAACTAGAAAGTGATCAAATCCACATTCCGAACCGCAGAAGGTCCTTACATCCATCACACTATTGCTAAATCTCGCATTCACCAACACATGATCAATTTGATTAATGTATCTACCATTTGAGGATCTCTAGGTACTTTTATGTATTTCCTTATGTAGAAATGACGTGCTTTTTATTTTTAAACCTTTTCCTGTAGCTGATTCGATTAGTCTGCATTCGTTGATATTCAATATCTGATGTAAACTATTCAATACGGTAGTTGTTTTGGAGCATTCTTCTTTACCAATTTTAGCATTAAAATCACCTAATAAGATTAAGATATAATGTCTAGGGATTCCCTCTAAAGTGGATTCCAATAATGAATAAAATTCCTCCTTTTCCTCATCACTTTTCACCACAAATGGTGCATGAGCATTGACAAATGCTATTTTATAGCATTTTGTCTCCACTATAAGTATAGTCAGTCTGGAGTTCACTGCTTTGAAATATTTAATTGCGGATATTATATTTTTTTTTTAATGATGAAGCCGGTGCCTCCTTGTATGCGATTATAATATTGGCTGAAAAATATTATTGTATTCCCTATTTCTGTAGAATTTTGTCTGCTCCATCTTATTTCTTGTATAGCTAAAATCTCTAATCTATATTTATTAAATTCCTTAACTAATGTTAAAGCTGCTCCTGGTTGATATAAAGTTCGTATATTTCATGTCCCAAAACGTAGAGCCGATTTCCAGTTTTCCAGTCTTGATTCCATTACTCTGACCCGAGGCAAGGTGTTGAATTCCTGAACGTTATTTTTTTTTATGATGGGGGGTTGTTGGCCCACCGATTAACCCCCAACCTGGAGGGCCAGACTACCCCAAACCAATGAAGACCAGAGTAGGGCTACTGCAGGGTACTTATTTAGTACACTGGGTGATGGGAACGCCACTTTTCCTACGCCGATATTATTATTTATAATTATTAATATTCAATATTATTTCATTATTTTATCGGGGTGCCTCCTTTTTTTTTTATTGTTTGTAATTTTTTTTATAATGTTTATTTGGAAAATAATAAGACGGTGTTCCTAGGCCCGTCAGTATTAATTAATACCCGTTTTGTTATTTTAATTTTGTATCACCTAAGTCTATATAACGATACCTTAATCATATTTTTGCAATTAGTAATGTTTACTAGTGTTGAGCAACGATATAATATTGTGTATCGATATCGTAACGAATTATATTTTTATAAATTTAGTAAAATAATATATTAAAATTTAGTATATGATATTTGTTATTGGTACACCAAAATCGTAAACTTTTATCTAGTACATAATGCTTATCGATACAGATAACATCATAAGCTATATCAAATGTAATAATAATTTAAAAATGTAAAATTAAATATAAATAATATAATAATTCACATTTCCCGAGGACACGTGTACAAACTTTATCAGTTATAACATTAAACAAATATTATTACTTATTTGTTATTAGTTAATGGTTTATTACACAGCACACACAATAAAATTTACTTAAGCTTAGAATCTAAAAATAAAATGTATTTTTAGAAAGATTATCAAATTTGATATTGCGATATATCGTACAACTATAGAACAATATCGGTGTCAAAAATGTGTCACGATATCGATATCATATCGAATTATCGATATCGTTGCCTATCACTAGTAATTACCACCAACCGTACAAGTAGTTATCGTGTTACAACAATACTGAAGATTGTTATAGTTTAGCATCTAGTTAAAAAATAATACAAACTAATTGAATAATAATTACAGCTGATACAATTCTTAATTCCATGTATTTTTTTTTAATTTGATAAGTTACGCATACATTACCAACTTTGTCATCACTCTTGAGTTATGTATTGTCACCATCACGTGTTTTATTTTCAGTTAACAGTACTTACCTTTTAACAATACTTTCGAATACGTATATATTAATTAAAATATTTAACGATGGTTAATAATTATTATTATAAAATTACGTTAGCTGCTTTTCATCATTTAAATTAAAATACTTTCCAGAAGATCTAAATAAGTGTCAAATGCACAATATCTTGTAATAAACAATAAATTACAGAACACTAAGCGTATAATCTTTAGTACACGTATGCATGAAAGTGCACGTTATTTATGTCCTGAGAAGATAGAACAATTAATTAATAAATTAATTTTGGAATAGATGTTTTCTTACTTGTCATTCTGAATCAGCCGATACATGAAATGTTTTCGACAAGTTTTAGGCAAACTTCCACATCATACTCAGGTGTCTTATTTTGCATCACATGTAGAGGTATATTATTTAACTTGTTTTAGTTGTATATCATTTTGTGTCACCCGGAACGCAATGTACGTCAAAGCATGATGCCAAACATGAGACTGACGGGAATGAAAACTTGCACAACAACAAATACCAATGCATTTTGCAACAATTCAACGAGACAACGTAGTTCGTTGACTTACAAAGGTAATACTATATTTAAATTTCCTCCAAACATATCGTATTGTGTATACAATAGTTCTATAGTAGCTCTTAATTTGTCGATTTCTAAATGTGTTCTAATGATAAAAATGTCCTATATTATTCACGCACAAAAACTAATATTATTTTCAAATACAATATTGCTATTGTTTTTGTTAAAATTGTTCACATTTTCATAGTTCTAAAGCATTTATTTAAAGTAGAATGTCAATATCTAAATAATATTTGGTGTTCGTATTATAAATATATTATTAATCTATGACTAGAGTACGAAAATCGGGTAATGTAAGCACTACTCATGCCTATAGGATAAAGTAAACATATTTGTAAAACGTTTATTTTGTAGTTACATTAACCGGGCAATTTGTATATTATCTACCTGTGAGTAGACAATGTTTTTTCATGAAATAAAATACGAAAAAATATCAATTGTAGATAATATTAATAAAAAAAGATAAAATACAAGTATAAATTGTACATTATGATAAATCGTGTGCAATGATATTGTATAGTAATTTCAAACTTCGGGACGGTGCTTCGAGTTCACTTATTCGATTTATTAATGCTTTTGATTATTTAGTTTTTTAAAAAAAACAATTGTCTTCTTAAAAAGAGAAATTTTATGAGAGCTTTAATAAATTAATTAATGAAAATAATGAGAATTCGGTAGATTTAACAGAATCATAATATTATAATATATTATCTAAAATAAAAAAACGTGATGAAAAACAAATAAATCATAATGACCCATTAATAAATATTTTATAAGTGTCGGTTACAAAAAAATCTTTGTGTGAAATAGCTAATGCCAGTGTTGTACATTATCTAGTTGATTTATCTAGGTAAAAAAATTAATCTTTTTATCTTATCTAGATAATAATAATTTGAAATATCTTTTTATCCATCTTTTTAAATAAATTGGTTATCTAAGATAAATCAGCTAGATAATTTTAAAAAAGATAATTTATTTTTTTTGTGGGAAATGAAACGAGGAATAATAAAGACATAGTATTACCGTATGTACGTTTTAAATTTTAAATATATATATTCTATAAACGAAGAAAAGGTATTGTAAAATTATTTACACAGAAAACATAAAAATGAACATATTTCAAATAATACCATTCGATTTTATAACGATTAACTATTTTTTTTTTTTTTTTAATATAATCGACGACTGGACGATACCAGCGATACTAGACGATACGCTGCCCAATGCTTACGTCCGGAATTTAATATATGTATACCTAATAGCTAATATTATACTCATATAATAATATATATAATAATTGTGTGAACATATGAATATAAAACGTCAATCTTTGGTTGGAACGTTCCATAAATAACAATGTATAAACTTAGATTAAAATAATAAATAATAATAAAGCCACCCAATAGCCACTGAATAGTGGCCACGGCTATATAATATTAGTGTATATAGATCTTAAATCGAGTTAGTGAATATTGAAAATAGCTCTAAGGTAACAGTAATCACTTATTAGTTATTGGTAAATACGTACGGTTAAATAAAATAAATATGCCGATTTATATGGAATATTTTAAAATTATGATAAATTTAATCAAGTATGAGTTTCATAAATATAATATACATACATACAGATATGAATTAAAAATTATAAATTGTCCGTCAAAGACCAGTATTAATAACATTAATAATACTATTTTTAGTATCCTACATTTATACTTTGCTACGTTTAACGTTCCATCGAACATCATTGTTATTAGTTATTTTTGGCTGTTTGACGTTGGTAACTAGTTGTTCTTCTTTCTCAATTTAACATGGATACATTTATTTCTCGAGAGAGGGAAACGGATTCATGAAGGTGATTCTGACATTATAGGTATATGATTAAATCACAAAAATCATAAAACTAGGTACATTTTTAATTGTATATTATTTAAATTATAATAAATTAATTTGATCTCTTAACTGATTAATAATATAAAATAAAAATAAATAAAAAAAGTTTATTTTTAATATCTTAAAATATTTATGTTTAAAAAATTTAGGTAATGAAAAATAAAAATAGGTTTATGTACTGTTTTCTGTCCAAATTAGCAAAATTAATTAAGATTATTTTAAACCAATTAAATCATAATTAATAATTAATTCTTTTATTCATAGAAAAATAACCATTTTACAAAGTTCTGAATGATGAAACTGTTTAAAATTATGTTTTTATCTAGATAATTGTAGTTATCTTTTATCTATTATCCAGATCAATTTTTAAATAGTTATCTATTATCTTATCTAGATGAAATTTTAATGTATTATCCGTTATCTTATCAAGATAATAGTTTGGTTATCTATGTACAACATTGGCTAATGCACAATCTCTTTTCAGTGGTCAAAATTTTAAAAAATGTTTGTGTAAAATAAATTTTGCAACTCAAAATGCCATCCAAATGTAAAATGTTTTAATAAATAATAATAATAATAATAATAATAATAATAATAATAATAATAATAATTTTAATAATAATTTTAATAATGTTTTAATAATGTTTTAATATTTTAAATATAGTTATATTTAATTTTTTTCATTTTTCATTTGCAAAATAATAATTTAATAATATTTAATTTACTTAATCATTTTTTTTTTCCGAAGTCATATGATTTAGTTTTTTTCTACATAACACCTTATCCATTGCACACTTAATAATTTACACATTATACTATTCATATGAATAAGGTGTATCTTACCCGAGTAATGAGTAAACTGCCCATTTTCAAACTTAACCCGTAACATAAATACGTATTCTATATTACATTTAATATAATAATGCTTGAAAACAAACGTATTTTTTCGTTATCAAAATATTCAATATAAAAAAAGCTAATATTAGAGATAAACGGATAATAGAAGAAGTATTAGATATCAATACATTTCCTGGAAATCTCTAAGGAAAATCAAATATGGACGCAAAGTTAAGAGCAAAAACAAATTATTTAAAAAATAAGTCGAAAATAAACCAAAAAAAAAAAAAAAATCACAATGACATCAAAAGAAACAAATAAAAATTGCAATTATAAAAAATAAAAATTATAAAAAACAAATTTAACTCAAATAGATGATTCAATAATATATTTTCAATCAGTGGCGGCATCTGGGGGGAGCATGAGGGTGCAGTTGCACCCACGACAATTTTTCTAGGGGGGCAAAAGTATCATTTTGCACCCACAGACAACAGTCAAAAATATTATATTATATTTTAGTTATTGAATTTCAAATGCTAACAATAGTAATATAATGTAATTTTAATTATAATATATGTTACTAACATTAATTGTTTTTTATTATTATTTATTTTAATAAAAATAGATTCCTTATATATTTATAAGTTATAACTAATATTTACAATTATATATTATACTAATTGAAATATATAATAAAGTTTTACATATAAAAAATTTTTTTATTACTTTTGTAATAGTAGTAGTTAAATATTAGGTGACGTGGAAAAACACTCCCTCCCACCAACCAGTTTGTGAATCACCATAAACGTTTGCACCCACATGAGTTTCTACCAAATGCCACTTATGTTTTCAATAATCAATATGAACATCAAAGAAACAAAAGAGAAAACAAACGGCGTGCTACTGGCATTTAAATATATATATATACCATATAAGCGTAGCCAATATTGAATACATATTATATACATTATGTGATACGAGTAAAACGATTAGTATACTGCAAGAAGTGACATTTTAGACACACAATCTAAACTTGCAGTGAATCCGAAACTTCAACCTTATATCGAATACCTGGTTAAGTCCTGGTCCGAATAAGGATATATTTTTATTTCAATCCATGGTGGTATTCGAAAATAAAAAATATATTATAAATAATAAAACATTTATTCATTTATTTCAAAATCAAAATTAATTTCACCCTCATAAAATTAACTACCTTCGTATAAAATTATATTGACTATTTCCAAAGTTTTGCATTTTTTTTTTTTTTTTTTAATTTTTATATACCATCGAATGGTATCGAAAGGTCTATACGTGATGATGATCCATCATCGATGCAAGAAAGCTTAACTCCTTAACAAAAGAAAAAATAAAAAAAAACCTTTTGAGTGATTGACCGGTTACGCCAGGTGGCCCATGGCATTAATGGTAGTCAAAATACCTATTTAGACCATTTGGCCAAACCGCATTGATTCCTTTGCAATATCTCTCTGAGCCCGGAGCGTATTTACATTTTTAACTCTCCATTCCTCTCTTACCTAACCTACTCAAAAAAGGTGCTTAGCCCCTCCTGTTTAAAAATCCTGGCTATGTCACTACAACATGCATTTCGGTATACGAATATAGTACTTGCGCAAAACAAACATCGCATTTGTACTCATCACTTGAACGTTTAACATTATTGTGAAGTATAAATTTATTTACTGCGATTGAACTAAATCTCGACGACTATGACGTGATGCGGAACGCGAGAAAAGTAATCTTTTTGCGTACGTATTTTTCGCGTGATATTGTTTAAATGAACGTAATCGTTTTCCATGATTCTCGAACTTTAAATTGATCTTATTTTGCTGCTGTGAAAAGAGCGCGTTCGTCGTTCGCCCGTTACTGTTGCCAATAAAAATTATGATGTTTCATGAGTGGAATATAATAGTACTCTTGTTTTGTTGTGGATAATACCCGGCAACCTAAACTACCTGGGTACTGGTATATCCGGGTAATACCCGATTTTTGGGGTAACCAACGTTTTCGGGTAGTGGGTACTCATTACCCAAGATGTACATGTACTCTAAAGTTTTTAGTACACGTAAATGTTTAAGCTAAGATCTAGCTGCTAGAAGAAAATTAGTACTATATTATAACGATCTAGGACAAATGGACGTAGCCGTTTAGACGTAGCCGTTTAGACGTAGCCGTTTGGACGTGGCTGTTTGGACGTGGCCGTTTGAACGTGGGGATAAATGGACGTCAAAAAAATATATATATA